AATCAGAGATATACAGCGGGTCACGCAAGTAAAGGACATGTGTAAACACCTTTTATGCGTTTTATATGGGTCATTCTTATTAATATTGTGATGTAACCCGACTATCATAATTATATTGGGAAAGTTTAAAACGAATCTGTTATTATAAATTACAAGATATTTGGTATAAGTATATATGTATTTCGCAAAAACCACAAAAATATCTAAACTATCACTTATTCATTATTATAATACTTATCATATATTAAGGCTATTCATGATGGATTGTAATTTTTTATTAAATATATGTTTACAGCAAATATCTCATAACGTCTATATACATTTTTAGATTGGTTTAAATTTCATCCATATATTTAGAATAGCCGTATAAATGCTAATAAAATTTTATGTATTTCTATGAGCTGTTGTATATAAACAACATTTGTATGACTTAGAAAAATCATAACGTGCAATTATAAATGCACCGATTTCTACAAAACTTCATATGATTGTAAGCGGTAAGTGAAAGAAGAAAACGATGAAAAAGATATGGAAAAATCCTTGGAACTCCTTGTTATAATTACATTGTTAAAGAAATACTCGGTAATGTAAATTGACTGAAAAAGATTGGAAATTAAATGTTGTGTTAAGACAACGTTAGTTTTTAATGTAGATCTTAATAATATTAACGTATAATGTTTAATCAAAACGTACAAAAGAGAACGTGATATTTTATTACATCATATCTCCTGTTATTTTACAGGAAAATAGCTTTAAGATTCACTACACTTTCATTCAATCTCACACTACCAAAACTGTTTTTATGTTAGTATTACAAAAAAAAAACATAATGCGTATTAAGAGATTGCACTGTTTGGTGCTATGTAATTCATAGTTAGCGACGTAGCATATGCATATTTACATAAAAATATAGGAGAGTATAGATTTACAGAAATGTACAACAATGTAGATGCATGAAAATGAAACTAATTTATAACTTTTCATTGTCGAAAATATTAGAATTTTATAACTTTTTGTATTAATAAATCATAATGGTATTATTCTATATAAATGACTTTGACTTAATATTTGCTTTTCTTAAAGTACATTATTGCTTCTATTTTTTTTAACAATCATGATGTTTATATTTTTCTGTGCATACTTACGTCAGTGGAATTAGCGAATTTCTAGGCATATTACTCAGCACCTTATAATCCTTAGGTCTTTCCATGTTTATTACAAACTTTGCTTTGAAAGCTGGTTCATCGAAGCAAGGGAAAGCCTGTCTCGCATAAGTTGCTTCAAACTGAGTCGCAGCCAACCAACTAAAATCAAGAAAGGATATTAGGAAACTAGAGAAATTAATTACAAGTAACAACTGATTCTTCATGAAAATATAAATAGAAGTAATTGAATAAATTCTTCATGTGCATTACATCGTTTCGATTTTAGGGAAAATAAATAAATATAATTCATTGGGTATAAAATACGTAAATTATCAATTGTTAATCTTATTGAAATAATTGATCATTTTGTTTTTTTTAACAAATAATTACTAAAAATAAACGTTGCGTTGACTATAACGTTTTATTTCTTTTAGTAACTCCACAACAGTTTAAATTCCGTTATATGAGTTGTTTGTTTATACATCAGAATCTTTTAAATTAGAGATTAGAATAAAAATAGGAAACTACAATATAAAACCAAGAAGTAAATAATTATATGAAATAAATAAAAAGTTAATTTCATGTGTAAAGTGGCTATAAGATGTATTGGCACATACCCTTATTTTCCAGTGAAGTGTTTCTTTACATGACTCTACACATTTCATTTTTATCATAATATATAAAATTTTTGTGATTTTTGTAATCTGAAAGTACTACTAAATAATACATAATTTAATATACTTGGATTTAATTAATTAATGTGTATATACATATTTTAATATACAGGGTTGTTGGAAAATTTTATACAATAATTTTATACTGTAAACAATACTTCAATTATTTCATGTTAAATTATTTCTTTTTAGTCACTCAGACGCCATAAAATGAACAAAAATGGAATAAGAGTTTCTGTTTCACAAATAAGTCCACAGTTCATTACAATATAATATATGTATATACAGGGTGGTTGGTAACTGGCGGTACAAGCGGAAAGGGGGTGATTCTACGCGAAAAAAGAAGTCGAAAATATAGAATAGAAATTTTTCGTTTGAGGCTTTGTTTTCGAGAAAATGGACTTTGAATTTTCGCTCGATACGCGTGCACTTTATCACGTCTCGTTATAACGGATCTCACTGTAGATCATTGTCTCGATGGAAAAATTAAAAAAAAAATTAAAAAAAAATCTTTATTCTATATTTTCGACTTCTTTTTTCGCGTAGAATCACCCCCTTTCCGCTTGTACCGCCAGTTACCAACCACCCTGTATATACATATATTATATTGTAATGAACTGTGGACTTATTTGTGAAACAGAAACTCTTATTCCATTTTTGTTCATTTTATGGCGTCTGAGTGACTAAAAAGAAATAATTTAACATGAAATAATTGAAGTATTGTTTACAGTATAAAATTATTGTATAAAATTTCAATAGTTACAAATATATCCAGCAGAGATAATATTAAAAATTATTCGATTTAGAATATTTAGATTTTATTTCTTTATTTGTATTTGTAAAAATATGAATTTGCATAAATATCCAGAATCTAATTGTTTGTCTTAAAATCTTACTTTAAAGTCCTTACTCACCGAGTGTTTCCTTCATCGGTGATATAGTAACTTCGATAAAATCCTTCCATATTATCGTTCAATTTACCAGTAAATGTGATATCAAGAACAAGTTCGTTAGGTTGAATGAATCTCTCCATGAATATTGTGAGCGTCTCAGTATCATAATTTTGTCGTAGACCGCTTACGCTGTTTTCATTATTTGAAGTCGAGTTTTTCGGTTGCAATGAGAGCCCTGTGATTTCAAGTTTGCTGCAATGAAGGACTATATGGGATATATAATCTACGTTACGTTCCATTTCTATTTGTACTCTGCCAGTAAATATAAAATTGTTTTCGGCAAAATATGGAGACAATGTAATATTGTATCTTAATGGAGAAAATGATATTGGCAAACGATAATTCATCGATGGATATTGTTCCTCGATCCACTGGAATATCCCTGGGATATTTTCTTGGCCCCATTTTAATTCGTGTTTTGCGTAATCCGAGAAAGCCTTGAAGTTTTCCATTGGTTGTTTCTTGTCTAGGAAATTGAGTAACTCGACATACTGCGAAAAGATTGATTAGTTAAAATTTAGGGACTTTCGGTTTGGTTCGGGGCGAGGGTAACACGCGAACGGAGAGCTCTGTGGGAAAAGTGAAGTGTGAAGGGAAAAAGTAGAAGGAAACACAAAGTGACACGAAGAAGGGAAAGTAAAGGGTGAGCATAGGATGGGAAAGTAAAAGAGAAGCGAAAAAGAAGACAGGAACGAGAGAGAGAGAGAGAGATACAAATAAGAAAAACTAAAAAATAAGAAGTTAGAAAGCCAGAAGCGCGGCAAAAAAGTAAGGTAGGGAAACGACAGATGGCGACAAATAGAGGAAGACTAAGGAACACGAATAAAGCTGGAGATAAGACACATTTCAAAAATACACTGGATAAATACAGCTTGTCAAAAAAAGAGACGCCAACCAGGCAGAAAGGAATAGAGGTAATGATGGAAAAAATGGAGAAAATGGAAAGAGGATACGAGGCAATAAAGGGTAAGGCAATAAAGGCAATAAGGAAATAAAAGGTATATTTGAAAAACAAGTGGAGGAGATGAAGAGGGAAATGAAAGAGGAATAGGAAAGAAGGGAAAGAGAGAGAGCCAGAGAGAAAGAAGAATGGGAAAGGAAAAAGGGAATAGAAAAAGAACAGAGTCGGACCACATGCCGTTAGAAATAGAAATGGAGGGGCCGGAATTAGAAAAAATGAGGAAAAGAAAGAAGAGAAGGAAAAAAGGGAATGGACAAACGAAAGTGTGGAAAAATACTTGGAGGAATGTAAAGACTGGACCTGCAAGGGAAGAACAGTAGAAGAAATGTGGACAGAAATAAAAAAGAAGATAAACGAAGCAATGCCAAAGAAGAAAGTGAAGATAAGGAAATAGGGCATGGGAGAGAAAGCGTGTTACGACAAGGAGTAGAAAGAAAGAAAAAGAGAGACGAGAAGGAAGATGACAAAGTTTATGAAAGGAAAACGCAACAGGGAAGCACTCATAGAGGGAAAAAAAGCATTCAAACAGTGGTGCAAACAAAGAAAGGAAAGACACAAAGAAGAAGAAATGGATAAAATAAAGAAGATCAAAACAGAACAAGAAGCATGGAAATACATAAATAAATACAGAAGAAGAAGAGAGGGCATAGATGAAGATATAAGCGAAGAAGAGTGGAAAAGTCACTTTATGGAAATTTTAGAAGGAACAGAACACAAAGAGGGCAGAAAAACGGAGAAGCATAGAACGGAAGTGAAAATAATGGAGGAGAGAGAAGATAATATAAAGAAAGAAGAGGTAATCTACCAGCTAAGAAACTTGAAGGAAAAGGAAGCAATGGGGAAAGACGAGTTAGAAAATGAGGTATGGAAGTATGCACCGAAGGAAGTGGGGGAGGCGTTATGGGAGTTGTTAAGGAAAATATGGAATGGGGAGGGGATACCAGAAAATCGGAGGAAAGGTATATAAAGATATATGTCCGATATACAAGAAGGGGGACAAGAGACTAGCGAAGAGTTACAAAGGAGTAACATTAATGGACACAGCATACAAGATCTATTCGGGGCTTCTGGACGAACGGCTGCAGGCAGAGATTGAAACCAAACTGGAAGAGAGCCAATTCGGATTTACAAGAAGGAAGAGGAGTGACCAACGCGGTATTTGTGATATACCATATCATAGATAAACAGTTGAGTAGAGAAAAAGGAAACTATATGCCTGCTTTGCGGACTTAAGAGCGGCGTTCGACAGACTAGACAGAAAGAAATTGGAGGAGAAAATGTGAAAAATGGGGATTAGCAAAAAACTAACCCGAAGGATTAAAGAGATATACACAGAAACAAAGAATGTGGTGAGAATCAAGAACCATAACACAAAAGAGTTTTGGACAGTGAATGGAGTCAGACAAGGGTGCCCGTTGAGCCCGACGTTATTCAACATCTACGTGGCAGGACTGCAAGAAGAACTAAGGAAAGGACAAGCCGGGGGCATAGTGGTAGGAGAAAGAAAAGTATGGTCAGTGACATATGCAGACGATATTGTGCTGATGACGGATAGAGAAGAGGAGCTAAAGGAAATGCTAAAGAGATTCAAAAAATTTTTATGGAAGCCGAATTGGAACTGAGCACGGAAAAGACCAAGATAGTAGTCTTCAAAAAAAGAAGGAACAAAAGAAGACAAAGAAAGTGGAAATGGAGAGAGCAAGAATTAGAAGAAGTGGACGAGATAAGATACCTAGGGCACATACTACAGAAAAACGGCAGTGATGAGAAACACATACAAGACAGGAAAAAGAGAGCAACAATAGCAATGAAGAAAACATGGAGCGTGGGAGAAAGAATATTCAAACAGGACTACAAGACGAGAGTGAAGATGTTTGGAGCACTGGTAGGGAGCGTGGCGCTGTTTGGATCAGAGGTATGGGCCTGGAACATGGAAGAAAGACTGGATAGAATAGAAAGAAGATATGTGAAATGGATCTTAGATTTAGATATGACAAAACCAAATTATATATTGATAGAAGAATGCAAGCTAAAAGGAATCAAAGAAAAAGTATTAAAAAGAGCAGCAAGGTATGAAGGAAAGAGCGAGAAACTGGGGAAATGGCCAAGAAGGGAAAAGAGCAAGAAGGAGAAAGAAGGGACTAGAGGAGGTGAGAAATGGAGGGACACAGATGGAAGCAAGAAAAGAGCAAAAAAGGATGACAGCAGACCAAATTGTAGAAGAAAGAAGAAAGAGAGAAGCAGAAGAGAGGATAAGGATAAGGGAATCCAAATATAACATACATTACAGAAAAATCGTCAAAGAAGAGTCACCAAAGTACTTAGATGAAGTGGAAGGACAGAAAAATATTAGCATAATTCAGATGTGGAAATGAGACCAAAACAAGGGAATACTGGAAAGAAGAGGGAGAAAAAAGATGCAGACTATGTAAAAGGAAAGAAGAAGACCAGAGACATGTAATAGAAGAATGTGAAATAACGGGAGAACCAAAGGACATAGAAGAAACACTAAAGGAGACTGGAGAAGGACTAACAGAATTAAAAGCAATAATAGAGAAGAGAAGGACAATACAAGACGGGGAAGAACGACAAGAAGGAAGCACAACAAGAAGGCAAAAGCCCAAAGTTGCAATAGTTTTTTAGTCATTAGTTTATAGATTTTTTAGTTTTTAGTTTTTTGAGATAGAATAATTAAGGGAGTGCAATATAATAGAGTGGATAAGAGGGGAGGTAGATATATAAGAAACGAAATAGGTATAAGAGATGTAAAACCGAAAGTTCATCCAAAGTCGAAAGGCACGGACTAGGTAATAATAAATAAAAATAGTTAAAATTTAATCGATAACATTCGGAGAATGTGAAATAACGATGTTAAATTTGTTGAGAAATTACAATATATACTCTGGTTCATTAGAATTAGGCACACTTATAGAAAGCGACATTAATCTCAGAAATAATTATAAAAAATTACTATCTGAGCATTCTTGCATAACCAATTTAACTAATTATTAATATTATGTAATTAATAATACGTAATTAATAATATTAATAAATTAACAAATTACAATTCTTGACAAGTTACAAATCTTTACAAGTTTATAATTTTTTCTTAAATAAAATAATCAGGTAATTTGTAATTTGTAGAATGGCACTAATAATATTACCTCAATTATGCAAGACAGCTCTAGTTTAAACTTTATGCTACAGATTGCAGAATCTTAAGATAAATAAAAGATTCGCATATCCAATATTATAATAAAAATCTTGTATTTATGTATAATAATCTTTTGAAAAAAATGCTTCGTTTGGAACGAATATAATGATTATACAAAAACAATAAATTACCTTTGCATAAATTTTGTTCGTGAATACTCTTTTTCCAATCGCGTTTACGATACTGTTGACGCTGGAAATTTGCTGGAAGCTGCAGGGAAAATATTGCAAAATGATTTTAATTGTTACTGCGAAAGCCCAATAATTTTTGTATAGTTTACAATACTTTACTTACTAGCTGATCATTTTTTCGTAATTTTTTACAATGAAATTTATTACGAATTCAACTCCCTTCGGGCTCGAATTGATAACGGAAGTGAAAACGCTCGAACTATCTTCAAATCGTACCTGCTTATCTGAGAGTACTGTGTGAAGTAACCTTAGAAAGAAAAGAAAGAAAAGATATGTATATGGTGTTCAAAAATTATTTCACACTTGAAAAGAGTTACTACAAAATTGACCTGCTTCTTGAAGTGTAAGGACAAATCATTTTATTGCATTGAGTAGAAGTCGTTACGAGGAATAAAAGTCTGACAGCCATGGCAAATAATTTCCTGTACAAGCTTTTACAACAAAATATCTAAAATGTTATATGTACTACGTATTTATCTTCGATTGACTACGATCTATTTGTATTTTTAACTGAAATGTTTAGCATTTGCTCATTTTTTAAAATATATAGAAATATTGCCCCGTTTTTGGTTTTACATATCAAATATATTATACATGTTTTTACAAAATAATGACGTAAGTATTGCAAACTGAAAGAAGAAAAACGAAAAGAAAGAAGAAAAAAATTTTTTATTTCTAAAGAAATAAAAAATATCCAATGAACGTATCCTAAATTTCAATCCTTTCGATGTTATACTAGAAAGAAGAAAACAGAAAGCGAAAGAAACATCGTTCAATGTATAATAAAATCGCGTAGGCACATTACTATGTATTGAAAATCAAATCATTTACAATATATTTTGTATTGTGTTAATACAAAATATTAATACAAAAATATTAATACAAAATATTAATACAATACAAAATGTATTGTAAATGAAAATATACTACAAAACTCATTTCTTAAAAAATTCATATACTTAAACAATTATTGAAATACAAAAGATGCAAAATAAAGAACACGGCTTTATAATCATCTGATATAAATTTTTATCGAGGTTTCATTACTCTACTCCTCTAGATACTCTACATTCTCCGAAATTATGCATTTGCATGAATATTCATGGTTTAGCAATAGATAATAACTGTGAACATACGATAATGAAACAAAAAACATACTAATACAATATTCTCATATATGTCGTGTAATGTAAAACATGAAAAATATGTTTTCTGTTGAAAAAGTACATAGAGTAGAGTACAAATTTATAACACTGTTATATTGAAATGGGATTGAAATGGGATATTATATCAACATATAATCTCAATGATATCTCAACAGATATCGAGAATATCTTTTACAACCGTGAAAATAAATTTTTGTGTTTTTCATTGATTATAGAACTTACGAACTCATTATTGATTATAAGTCTTACTAATAATGACTTACGAAAATATTTGTATACGTATGAGAACTTTGTTTATTAGATGACATATTTGTGGTTCTCTAGATTTCGAACGTGTTTTTGATAGTATGCTGGCCTTTGTTCCGATGTTTCGTGAGCATTGAAAATTCTTGAAACTTTTTCAGGAAATTCAGGTCTGGCCTGAACAAGTGTACCGGAATCTTCTTGATATGTCGCGTTAGAACATAACGCAATGTACTATTGAAAATACACTCGAATGCCGAAGAACCACACGTATGTTAACTTATGGAAACTCTTCTTATACATATATTGTGTATTGTATAAAAGATTTTGTATAACATGGTACAATTATCGTGGTCACATTTGTATAGTTTGACACAAATCTAAAAATGTATGCAGGAATTGCAAAATATTCATTGGAAACATACACTTCACAAAAATCACAAAATTATTTAAACAGCCAATTACCTATTACATTATTTAGTATTAATTATATCTTTAAACCAACTATTCGTATTATATATTAATTTTTTTATTGAGTCAAATGAGAATATGATCATAATGTCTTAAACATTACTTCTTGTAATACTCTACATATTACATGAGGACAAAAATGAAACTGAGTAATCGATTGATTAAAATAAACGCGAGATCAAAATATTGAGTAATATTAAATTGAATGATTCCGTTATATTATCGTTATATTATTACTATTATTTAATATGCTTATTATTTAATATACTATTATTTGATTTGTGAAACATAAATTACTCCATTTTTGCATGATTAATATAGCTCAGTAAAGTCAATTGATACTATAAACTCAAATTCGAAAAAACTGGGCTCAATCCATATTTGTTCTCAATGCTTTATATATAGAAATTAATAAATAAAAACTTACTGGTCAAGAAATTCGTCTTTAGTAGCGCAGGCTAAAGATTGGAGAATTATTAACTTTTGTGCAGAAAATGTCGTATCTGAATAAAGTGCCCACAAACGATTCCAGGATTCAGGATCGTTCTGTTCAGCAACCGTGCAATATGATACACTACGAATATTGGGTGGAAAGCTGAAAAATAATATCCATGAAACATCTATTTTAGCATAGTTTGTAAATACAGTAGTACCTTCCGCAAACCTCCTTATATGTATTTGTAAAAAAGAAACTTAATAAGATAAGAGATAGGAAAATTTATTATAGTACTGTATTGATTTTATTATAGAACTATGTGTTGTACTGTACCGAACACATCTAAGGAATTATATTTGGCTCTGCGATAAATTAACACTTTGCTTAATAGTAGCGAGAATGTTGCAGATATAACTTTTACACAAATTGAAATAATAAATGCAAATAATCAAAATGAGACTCCTTATGTCAAAGTATTTGAGATATTTGAAAAAGAGCTTCAATTGGTTAAGGCGTGAAACAATATAACTCTGCATAGTTATTTATGATAAAAAAATTTATGTAATTCAGAAATCCAAAGAATGTAACATCCTTAATACATATAACCTTGTTTATCAACGTTTCATAACTTCTAGATAATTTAATTTAAGATATATTTTATATATTTAAGATGATTTCATTATACTTTACAATTTTTGTGATACTGTCCGCTCTATTCCTTTTTAATTATCAAATGATACACGTAACACAGAATTTTAATTGATTTAGTTTAAATCTCAAATAAAAATGGTAGCTTTAATTTGCAAAATTCTATAAAGCAATTGTGGCACATTTAGGTTGAATATTGAAATATTAATATTTTGTTAATCTATACTTAAATAAGTGCCATAAAAAATCCTATTGTGCGAGCATTTTATGAAAACTATATACAATAAAATTGAACTATATAAAAATAAAAATAATCTTGCATTAAATATATGATTCTATTAATGACTTATATGATATAAAACTTAATAAGTATAAAATGAAGTAAACTTTTGTTCGTTAATGTAACATTTTCATTAATATATGGTAATATATAATAATATATATTGTATAGATATGTAGGATTTCTAAATATTAAGGAATCCTATTGCAAACTTGAAAACTTTCTTTGAAAATTACGTTATTTAATTAGAAATAATATTGACCTTGCCATTGTTATTTCATTGTTGGTCCAAGAGTTAAAATAAGATAAAGCTCGAGATTTGCAGTTTGCTATGTTTACTTGGCATGCCCACTTGCGAATGTGTGATCTGAACAACAAGGTGATGTGGTCATCATTTTCCTTATCCTCAAATCCAAGTTTATTGTATACCGGTGTTAAGAGCGAGCTTAGATATCGCTGGAATGTAATAGCAATAAAAGTAATATATACAATATGATAATCATAATAATATATTAATTATAATTTATATACTTTGAACGTGGCATAACTTTATTTTATATAAATTTATATTAAATAAAGTATTTACATTTTTACATTTTTACTGATTTTAAAGTGTATAGAGTATTTTACAACTGATAGTTGAGATTACAGAAATGTCGAATC